ACTTGTATTTCACTCCAATTTCATTCTCTGTTATTATTACATAATTCTTAAGTTGTTATCTTATTACCATTCTATTTACTCATATTTTCTTATCATTTCTCATTTCATCTTTCTTTTAATTCACGTTTTCGTTGTATTTCTTTTACCATTTGTTATATACTTTATTGCTACTTCATCACTATCATATGTATTCATTATTGATTATTTCATGTTTACTTTTGTGTACAATACCAATGATGTTATTCAATGATAATGATAATAAACATTATTATATTCTTTCCATTGAAAATGAATCTTTTTAAAATAGTAAAAACAAAAAATAAAAAAAAATACAAAAGTTGTATTTTATTAATGGATAATAGATCAACAACTTCAGTTTATAGACAAATTACAAAACCTATAAAAGCAAGAACACAAGGAGAATTAGTTCCTCGTGATAATATTATTCAACTCATGAAAATGCTTGATGCACGATTAGCTCCTGATCAAGAAGTTATAAGTTTTCTTCAAGACTTAGTTGAAGAATATGTAATTGAAAGTGCAGAAGAAATGATGGTGTATGCCAGACATCGATCCGATAATACTCTTGATTTTAGAGATGCAAAACTATATTATGAACGTCAATTCCATCACAGTATTCCTGCTATTTTAAGTGTTATCCAACAAAGTCATCTTCCAACTGAGTCAATTCTCAAATCAATTTATAAAAAGAAACCATTAACTAAAAACCATATTACTCATATTCAAGACTTCAAAAAAGCAAAGAAATAATTATTGTGTTTTAAAAATTCTTGTTAGTTTTTACTTTGATTTATTTCTCGGATAGAAATTTGTTTTATAACACATTTATTTTATTCTTTTGTTTTCATCTAACCATTTATATGTTGCATTTGAGTGTATTTCAATCTTTTTTTTTTAAAAACATTATTTTTATATCCACTGTTTTTCACTTAACTTAAAGTCATTTATTTATTGAAGAAATACTTTTTGTTGTTGAGGAGTTACTTTGACTTAACTCAAGTTATCTATTTTTCGATAAGCACTTAATCGTTTTAATACACAACTTAAAATATAATTTCAAAAAAAAAAAATAATAATATTTTCATCATTATTAGTGGAAATTAGTTAAAGTTTTCCTAGAAAAAAAGATTGCATTGAATAAAATATGTAAATTAGTTTTAACATAATCACTGGTTAAATATTTAGAGTTCGTTATAGTAAATATTGAGGTCGGTGAAAGTGTTATTACTAAAAATTAAGGTCATAAAACAATATTCTTATTTTCGTTAAAAAAGAATTCATAATAAGCTTCTTTTATCGTTTGAAGAATTTTCTTAGAAGTTTATTAGAAAAATTTCTCTTCTCAAAACAAAGGAAGAAAGGTCTTTAAGAAGAGAACTTGAAAAATAAACGTCATAAATGTCACAAGAAAGTCTACCAACAACAAGTCGAACAGAAACACCAACAGAAGACTCAACAAGCTCTTCTCAAGAAGGGTGTTCTCTTAGAGACCAAGAGAAACAATCTACTGAAAATATTCTCTCAGAGAAAGAGTCATTAACAAGAAAATTAGTTGATGAAGGAAAGAAGATAAAGGATGGAACCGTTGAAATAGAGATGAGTCATATCCAACCTGAATATATTAGTGAAACTAAAATACCCCTTTGGAAAGATGAAAAGGATAAAAGAAAAATTCTTTTGATTAGATATGGATTTTGTGGTTTAATTGGTGCTATAACATTGCTTTTTGTAGGGGTGTTTATTGTTATTGGTATCTCTCTTTAATTTATGTTTTTTTAATTAAAAAACATTATTTTTTGTTTTATCATTAAATTCAAACTTATGTACAAAAGATAGTTGAATAATGATCAATGTTATTGATTTTTTAAACTACAAGTATTAAAAGTCTTTAAACTAAATAGATAAATGCTGAATATACATTGAAGTATTATTTTTTGTTGATATCATTGATATTATTATTATATACATTTTGTTGATAATAGTAACTTAAATTAGTTTTTTGTTCATTTAATAAATTTTCTTATAGTTGCTAATACAACCTCAGATAAACAAAGGATATTTTTTAAATTGACCTATAATAAATGGTAAAGAAGTTATTTTTTCAGACTATTTATTTCAATTATAACTTGGATTTATAAAATTTATGAATAACATTTATGCACCTATTATTAACAATAAAGAAAAACAAAGAAGTCATATTATTAACACAGACGAAATTGATAGATTAATCAAAAAATAGAAAACAAAAAAAGAAATTACATATTTATTACTGTTCTGAAAAATTAAGTTATTTAAGTGAGTGTAATGGAAGATTGTAATAGTCAAAGAAGATAAGTAAAGGAATACAAATACTTAAATAATAATTGAAAATGAATAATCTAAAAAATTGATTATAAGATGAAAATAAAAATAATTTTGTGTTATTACAAAAAAAAGGAAAAATTGTTAAAAGTAATTAAAAAATAGGTTTTAAAATAATTTTAAAAAATAAAAATAATATATAAAAATGAAATATTTACTATTTAGAACCCTTTCAAAAAAAAAAACAAAAAAAGAAATTATCTAAAAATTATACTTAATGTTAACACAACCAGACTTCTGGAAATTAGAAGAAGAAGATTCATTACTATTACATAACGATGGATATTTAACAAATAGTATTCAACAAAATGCTGAACTTATTGAAAAAGCAAATGAATGGTATGACATTGTTATGTCTCATGCAGAGGAATCTATTCCTGATTATGTCGTAGAAGATATTGAAAATGTTCCAGAAGGTATATCAAGAATTATTTATTTAGATGTTTTTAGAACATTAAAATCTCCAGTGTATCAAGCTCCTTTAATTAAGTTATTAACAAAATGTTGGAAAGACTTTGGTGACTATGCTCAACCAATGTGTTTAGTTGCTGCTTTCCTTAGATTAACATTAAATGAAAATAAAGTGTATAAAATGCTTCATGTTATTAATAAAAGTGAATTTTATATTCCTGGATACTGGAAAGCACAAGCTACTGGATATGCTTCTGATGCATATACTGCAATGGAAGTCTCCAAAACAGTTAATCCATCTGCTACACAAAAAATTCTTAAAACCCAACCATATCCAGAAACATTTTGTCAAAAGTTTTTCACAGCAATTGGTATTCATGTTTTTCCTTTTTGTTTACAGTTTGATGTAATGGATAAATTTATTAGAGGTGGAAGAAAGTTTCTTATTCAATTGATTTGTAGTGTTATTGATGTACAGGGAGATATGCTTCTTAATACTAGTGCTGTTAATGTTACATTTGAGTTACTTCGATTAGATAAAAAATCAACATCATTTGAAACAATCAAAAAGATTGTTGAAGAAGCCGAACATTATACTCAAGTTAATAACTTTGATATTGTTAAAATGAGACAAGAGATGTACGATTTACATTTGAAGAAGAGACTAGAACGACCCCCAGTTGAATTAGATAGTGATGATGCTATTACACTATCTGATGACAGTTCTGAAGATAATGAATAAAATTGAATTTATTTGTTTAATTTTATTTATAGAAATTTGATATTAAATATTCCATTTTTTTTGTATCTATTAGTTTAAATTCAAGTTATTTGTTCCTTTTAAAAAATAATTTATTTTCAATATATTTTCTTGAAATAATAATTTTTATTTAATGGAATTAGTAATAATTTCAAGTAATAAAACATATTTTATTAACAATACTTGTTTCAAAACCATTCCTTAAAAATAAACTCTATTTTAGATTCCTTTTGTTTATTTTAATAACTGAGTAAATACCAAATATTTTATTTTAATTAACTTTGTTTTTATAAACTTTAAAGACTTTGCAGTCAATTCATTTTTCAAAGATTATTTAATTGTTTCTTTAATCAGTTTCACTACTAGCTTTAATTTTCTTAAAAACAATCAATAGAAAAAAAAAGAGGTACTAGTTTAAAAATTCTCTCAGTTATATAACTTCGTTTTATTTTGGTGAAGATAAAAAATTAGATAAAAGTGAATACATGAATAATATCAAAAGAGCATAGATCAAATAGTGCTCTAAAATAAATGAGTTAAAAAAAATTATTTTTTAGACAAATGAATAAACAATATCTTTTATTGTTAAGATATAATGAATTTATTTATAGAACAATATAACTCAAAATTCTGTTTTCAATAGTTATTATCTAAATGATTTTTTTTCTTTAATTATAAATGATACAATCTTCAAGATACCATAGACTTATGATATATGTAAAACAAAAGAATTTATTACCACTATGTTTTGAAACTTGTTTTACTAAATATCATAAAGTACTTGATTTTTATGCAGGAGGATTAATTAAAGAACGAGTTTCTTCAAAAATAGTAAATGCCTTTGAAATATGTGATCCTTCTTTCTTTACAACATTTAGAGATTGTATTATGCATATGAGACATACTGTCTTTGATGAGTTATTTGCTTATTATATCCCTCATCCATTCTGTGATAAGGGAAGGTTTGTATGTCTTTTTGTAACTGAGTGTTATGTAAGAAGTACAAACAACTCACTTCATAAAGAAGATGTTACTACATTATTAGAGCTAATGAACTTTATTCTAAATTGTATGTTTTTAGCTGGGTGTGACCTTTTCTTTCAAGTCCCATCATTCTTTCATTTAACTGAACCAGATAAACATTTTCAAGAAAAGGAAAGACATATAGATGTTCTTATAAAAAATCCATTATGCAGATTGTTTGGTAATGAATAATAATTTGTTTTTTTTTTTATTTTTTATTATTGTATTTAATAGAAAATTAGTATATAATTGATGAAATTAATTCATTATATTATAGTAGATAAAAGAAAAAAATCATCCTTCAGTATTAAACTTTAACAATGAAAAATTAATCGTTAAAAATATTCTATATCAAAAAAGAACAACAAAAGAGAATTCAAGATACATAAATTAAAAAATGATATAATTAAAAGAAAAATTATGTTCAAACAAATTAATACTAAAACCAAAAATAAAATTAAACAATTTATTCAAAAATAAATAAAAATAAAAATGAAGGAATTATTTGGATATTTTTAATAATAGTTTAATATATTTAATGATATATAAAATAATACTATAAATATTTACAAAACAATTTGTAATAAAGATTTTATTACTTTTGATTTATTACTCAAGATTCATCTTTGTAAATAAAATTAATACCAAAAACATTAATAATATTAAATATTAGTTTTTTCTATTTTTAATTTTTTTAATTTAAAGGAAACTCAAAAACAGATGATAAAAAAAAAAATGGATTTGATAATATCACTTATTTTATTTATTACTCAGTTATGTTATGGACTAAAAGAAGATTATGTCAACATATTTATTGGAACAAACAATGAATATCGTTTAAGTAATGGGAATATTTATCCATGCATTGGAACTCCATTTTCAAGCCATTACATAACAATTCAAAACGTTGATCTTAATGAACCTTGGATTTTTCAATGGAAAAACAAATATTTGTTTCGTGGTTTAAGACTTACCCATCAACCATCTCCATGGATGAAAGATTATGACTATTTACTTTTAATTCCAACAGAAACAGAAGAACCTACTTATGGTAGTATTTATTTTATTGAACAAAAACCATCACTTTTATCATTTTCATATGAAAATATGATTATTGGTGTTACTTCACGTCAACATTTTTCAATGATAAAAGTTGAAAGTAAAAATGTTTTATACCTTCATTTTAAAACACTTAATGGAATTAACCGATTTAATCAAATTTCATTAAATAGAATTGATGGAATAATTAAAAATGGAAAAGCACCTTCTCATTTCCCATTGTATGTTACTTTATTAACAAATCAACCTATTTCTTACTTTGAATGTAAAGAGAACAATGTATTAGTTCAAAGTGGTAATTCTCTTCAATGTTATATTGAATTAAACACAACAACAGAAATTAAAATTGGAACAAGTTTTATATCAAATGAATATTCGTATTCTCATGCTTTAGATTCAACTACATTTAGTGAAGAAATAAAAAAAAATGAAAAAGAATGGGATAACTATTTTAATAAGTTTAATATATACAATTCTAATCCTTCTTCTATTGAAACTGATAGAAATACATTTTATTCAATTCTTTATAGATCATTATTATTCCCTCATAATATTACTGAAAATGGTTATTATAAATCTCCTTTTGATGGTAAAATATATAAAGGAGAAATGTTCACTGATGTAGGATATTGGGATATATCACGTGCTCAAATTCCTTTACTTACTCTTATTGCACCTTCTGTTGTTGATCAAATAATTAAATCAAGTTATGATATTTATAAACAAAGTGGTAATTTTCCTCAATGGATTTCTCCAAACCATAGAAATATCATGGTCGGAAATCACGTAAATTGTGCAATTGCCGATGGAATTATTAAAGGTATTAGCTCTTTAAATAAAACAGAAATACAAATGATTTTAAATGGTCTTATTGATGATCAAAAACAAATTAATTTCAATCCAGCAATAGGAAGAGATGGAGTAAATAATTATAATAATTTTGGATTTGTAGAATCTGAAGTTTTCGAATCAGTATCAAAGACATTAGATTATTCTCATAATGATTTTTGTATTGCACAAATTGCAAAATATGTAGGAAATAAAACAATCGAAGATATTTATTTATCTAAAGCAAAGAATTATATTTATTTATTTAATGGAAAAACTAAATTCTTTGAAAGTAAAAATAAATTTGGTCAATTTGAACCTATTGTAAATAAAAGATGGGGAGACCCTTATGTTGAAGGTAATGCTATTCATTATAGATTTAGTGTAGTTCAAGATATCGAAGGATTGACTAATCTCTTTGGTGGTAAACAAGAATTAGTAAATAGCATTGATGATGTATTTACTGAACAAAATAATTTTTATACTGGAAGATATAGATATATAATACATGAAATGACAGAGATGGCTAAAATTAATAAAGGACAATACGCTCATGGAAATGAACCAATTCAACATTTAATATATCTTTATAAATCTTTAAATAAAGGTGAACAAGCAGAAATATTACTTACAGATATTATTCGTTCTTTATATTCATCAACTGAAAATGGATATTGCGGAGATGAAGATAATGGTCAAATGTCTGCATGGTATATTTTAAGTGTAATGGGATTTTATAGTGTTACACCTGGAACTGATCAATTTATTACTGGAGTTCCTTTCTTTGAAAAATTAGAGTTTGAGGTAAATGGAAAGAAAACAATAATAGAAAAAAATATTGAAAAAGGTTCAAAGTATGTTAAAAGAGTTTTCATCAATGGTAATTGTTACCATAAATTATATTTTACTTATAAAACATTAACAGAAGGAAATCACATTGTCTTTGAAATGGACGATCATCCAAGTAATAAATTTTTATTAGATTCTGATTATCCATATTCTATTTCACCAAAAATACAACGTCGAAGTTTTTCTTCAATACAACGTTTGGAAAATCTTAAATAATTAATTATTAATTCAAATAATGTTTTATAAAATTTAAAAATAAAAAAAAATATTAAAATAACAATTTAAATTAAGCAAAAAAAACGTCATTGCCATGTGGAAAAAAAACCCTATGAACTATTTAAGGAATTTGTAAGAATTTAGAGTTCATTCAAATAATAATGCAAAGAGTATATGCTTTCGAAGATGGTGATGGAACCAACAAGAAACTTCTTGGAGGAAAGGGTGCTGGACTTTGCACAATGACAAAAATTGGACTTCCAGTTCCACAAGGATTTGTTATTACAACAGAAATGTGTAAACAATTCATTGCTAATGGAAATAAGATGCCAGAAGGATTAATGGAAGAAGTTAAAAAGAATATGCAATTAGTTGAAAAGAAATCAGGAAAAGTATTTGGAGGAGATGAAAATCCACTTCTTGTTTCAGTCAGATCAGGAGCTGCTATGTCTATGCCAGGTATGATGGATACTATTCTTAATCTTGGACTTAATGATAAAACTGTTGTTGCTCTTGCTAAATTAACCAACAATGAAAGATTCGCATATGATTCATACAGAAGATTTGTTTCACTCTTTGGAAAGATTGCTCTTAATGTTGATGATGAAGTTTATGACAAGACTCTTGAAAATAAAAAAATTGAAAAGGGAGTTAAATTAGATACAGAATTAGATGCTAATGATATGAAAGAACTTGCACAAGTTTTCATTAAAAAGACAGAAGATTTCACTAAACAACCATTCCCAGTTGACCCATATGCACAATTAGAATTTGCTATTTG